AGAAAAGTTCAAACGCTGTCAAGCGTGGATACTGGGTGTCGGTCGGTAGTTCCAAACAGCAAGCCATTTAGGAGACAACTAACTCGGCGAGCGAACTTGGGTATGTTACTAGGCAAGACAACTAGCCACGGTACGCCGCTGGCACATCTCCAAGAATCCTGCTCGCGGTGCTCGGCCTTCTGTTCGTATGAAATCCTATCCTTTCCAAGCCCCAAGCTTTCAGAAAAGCGGCATTTCTACAAAAAACAACAATTAAAATAGCTGATATTCATCAAGGCTATTCTCTTGTTATGTACATCGCTTATGCTAATCCTGCTTTCAGGATGATGCTCAAATGACAGGTGACTTGAACGACAACATGGCAGCTCTTGATGCTCCCGTCAAAGATCCCGACGATCCCGGCAGCGGTTAGTTTTGAAGCATTTTCCCCCCAACTGAGCTATGTCGTAGAAATGATCATACTCTTTAGTGACAGACGATACTTGTTCAGTACTCAATGTGGGATAGGGGATCTTGCAGGTCTGCTGTTACCCTACGACCCTCCCGAGAAAACCTTGCATCGCCTCCCGCAACCGAATGTCTTCGGAAGCTTTCAGCTTATCAGAATTGGATAACTATGAAAGGAACAAAGATGAACTTTCTAGCGTTGATCAATTCCACTTTCGGGAGGCGACCCGTACTCGACTTTCTTTAAAAGTCGTAAGGGCGTTAGGATGCGTATGTGTTCTACACAATGACGTGCAGAGGCCAGGTAATGTAAAGTCAGTGTACTAACCTCTCGGACGAATATGTTACCAATTACCCTACCCAAAAGGACGGATGATCCGGTTGGCCTGGGCGGGTATCGATCCAGGCTTGGTAGAATCATGCGATAGTCAGGTGGCAGTTAATGTGACATTTACTTTCAAACACTCGGTCTTCCCGCATGAACATTAATGGGAGCTTCCACCCACCCAGACAACCTCGAATGAATTTTCCGGACATTGCCGTATAATTGTAATTTTCTAAACTGATGTTCCACAAACTAAACTCAATAGGATGCTTCAGAAGCAAACCCTACTTTCTCTTCTATTTCGGATGATGCTGAAGCAACAGAAAGAGGAGAAAGCCCCTCAATATCAAGGTACGTCAACAAAGGGCAAGGTCAAATAAAATCTCGAAGACACAGGACAATAAGGAATAATTTATTCGATGGGAATCCAACCAACGTTTCAAAAGGAAACTTTTTGATTTTACTGATTTTCCTTGAAGCTGTCTTCTCGAAGTTATGGAGAATTTGTTGGTGAAAACAGGATGTTCTGGCCAGTCCAAAAAAGTCAAAGGCAAGGTCAACGTTGCCCAGAGATAATGCTAGCAGAATTCGGAAGATTCTATCACCCTTCAGTCGGCTGGCTTCCCAACTCACTGGCTATCACTCCGCCTGATCCTCTTGCATTAAGGGTCCTTGGGTCAAGTGGCGCACAAAGGCTTACTGCACCCCCCATTCCTTTATGAGATGGGAGCAGAATGCTCGGGACGAGTCGATCGCAGCGATCTCCTCCCCATTGCCGAAGATTTCCAATAAGTCTTCGATGCTGTACGAAGAGGAGAGGCAAGGGAATCGGAGTAGTTCGTGATAGTCGAAGGCGGCACAGCAGAGAGCTTTGTAAGAATGAGGATTCAACTACCTTCTCGCCGTGGTCATCGCATTTGCGTAGACTTGGAATCCCAGATATGTGTAGAGGTAAGGGAAGTGGGGGAGGGGGGGGGGGGGGGGGGGGGGGGGGGGGGT